ATATATATATATATATGACAATTTATTTTCCTATGCACAAATATTTAAGCATAAAAAATATGAATGTGTAGCCTAAAACAACACTAACGGTATATCCGATCCAAGTTAGATTATTGCTCGTTTTTTAGGTAGAGTTAGAATCTACAAAATAAAATTATGATTTTTCCTTCACCCGTATTAAGTTTGTTTTACCTTTTAAACAATACGAGAAATATGAAGATTTTGTAAAGTTTGACTTTATAAGCCCAGCAATTACCAAGATTAGCCAAAATATCTCTATTATTTATTTTATTGAAAAAATATATCAAAAGCTCTGATTTTTACAAACTTGCAGTCAAACTGACTGGTTCGACGAGACGGACTCAAAGTTACTCAGATCGGTCCAATTTGACTTAAATCAAGTTCAGGTCAAGTCATTAAAACAGTTTTGAAAGTCTTTCAAATATAGTGGAAGGTAAATCTGATGTCAAGTATGGATGTTTATAGTCAAATTGAGTGTCTTGGAGAGTTTAATCTATCGAGCTTAAGATCGTTCAATTATGATATCGTTAAGGCAATCAAATGTTTATCAAATTGCATTCAATCAATGGGATCTCTCTGTAGTGTCCGATCAAGGGTTATGAAATTCTTTCTTATTTGTAATTTAGTCTCTGTAAATAGTGCCCCTAACTCCTCATTATAGGGGATTGGACCTCTGGGCAAGAGCAAGTTCAGAGCCTGTATAAGAGGGAGTTGCAACCCTGCATCCTGCATTGTAGAACCGACTAACTTCGCTCGCTATCATCACCTCGAGCCGCCTTCGGCGTTGTCTTTTTTGTTCATCATCGTCGTTACTTCAGATCATCGCCGCTTATGACCGACTCAAACCATCGCCCCCTCCGGTCATCGTTGCTGCTTCTAATCACGCCACTTCCGTCCGCTGTTCCTTCTAACTGTCACCTCTTTGACCATCGCCTCCACTGGTCGTCGCCACTGCTTTCAGTCGTTGTTGTTTTTGGTTGTCACAGCCTTCGGCCAACCCCGACATCGCCGTCTCGAGCTGCATTCACCGTAGCCTCTGGACCCCGCCGCCCGTCGTTGCAGTCTCGGGTCGTTGTCCCCACCCGCTCCGTACCGCGAAGTAATAATTCCTCCTACACACAGACATTGTAACCCGAGAAACTGTTCAGCCCCTTTCAACCTATAAAACTAGGGGTTGTACATATAATCACCAATTCACAGTGAAATATTTTAACCAGACAATGTCTCGTGATTTTATCCCTTTTTCGATTTTTCCACATAAAATCTTCTCGTATCGCTACTAGTTGCTTATTTCTATCTGAGTGTGTGTTGGATTTCAGTACAACGCTAAGATGATAATTTTTTACTCCACCACCACAAATTTTCTAACACACATAAATTACTATTATATTTTATAGCGGTTTCATTCATCTTATGCTATATTCAAATAATGCTTTACTCCACATTACTGATGAGCACATTTCTACATCTAAGTCTTGGATATCATGATTGGTTGACAACTCTAACAAAAAGTTAGGAATGGATGTTCCTATCATATGGTTAAAAAATAATGTTCAATATAATTTACTTTAATGAAAGGGTGAAAATGGATGCTTTCACATCATCATCACATCATTTTGGAGTGTTTGATTTATTTATGTTTCATAATATTTAAGTATTATAATAAGGGGAGAATCATTTAATTTGAAATGTAGAATATTCACGTTGATGTTTTTAAGAAAAATAGAGTCTTTTATTATTTTATTGTGATGTAAGTAATATTTGTTGCATTGAATCCATCATATCATAACATATTGTATAGTAGTTGTGATGATTGCAGCATCATTGTAACTATTATGCTATTGTATGATATATCTTATATTTGGGCTGTTGTGTGATTGCCAGGGGCGGGACCAGAATGTCAAGAGAGAGGGACAAACTTAAAAATCAACTTAAAATAAATAAACTAAAATATAAAATACGGATGACAACTTGTAAAGTAAAAAATATATATTTTTTAATCTAACTATCATGAATAAACATGTTGAATTATGTCCAACACCACTTCATGACAGTGTGGGCTCTGAAACTTCGAAAAGTGCCCCAGACTCTCGTCGAGAGCTTAACACGGTGTGTTTGTTAACTTTCGAGTCGAATTTTCAGAAGGAATATGAGATAGAAGAAAATATATTGCCCAGAGATTTCGCCATCATTTTGTGATGATTTTAAGGATTGAGATTTGAGGTTTTCCATAGGTGCAGGACCCTATGGTTATTTACCCCTCCCAATAACGGGAGAACACTTTCGATTATAGCTAGTCATTATGCAGTAAGTATTCAAACTTAACATATGGTAGCAGCAAATTTGGGAATTTAAATTATAAAAATTATCATTGCGAGGACAAAGTGGATGGTAGAGGAAACGATGGCGAACTCGATCAATATCTCATGGTTTTGTCATCCCGGGTTGTCATGGTTCATAACCTACTTACTCAGCGGGGTAGTCGACCCAACGTGACCGAAGAATTATTGTCAGCAATCATGGGTTGCTTTGTCAAAGGAGACCCTTTTTACATTGGGTGAATGTTTGTCAAATGGGACTAATCTAAATTGACCTTAGCATATAGAGAGTTTTTTGTCCAATCGAATATACCATATGATTTAATATTCAAAAGAGCGGACTGTCATTGAAGAGCATATGTGTTACAATTGGGATTGTAACATAACGTGTCATTTAGCCGCAAATCACCTGGTTAGAGGGCTCTGATCGTAATTGCTTCATTGTAGTTTTATTTAATGGCAAACCCACATTGACAAATAACTCTGGCCACATACTCACTGGCATAAAATTCATTTTGAACATTAATCTAGCAGTATACTTAATATGACATTGATTTTTTAAAAGCTAAAGTCAACATTAAATTTGTCCATCCTGACAAACGGCAGTGGAGGGCGGATGGATTTTTGCTTGAAGCATTAAGTGGCATAAATTTTTATTTAATTATTATTTTTTTATGATTATATATATAATATATATCCACCCCGCCGGTTAAAATAAAACAATCAACATGGTCAAAATCGGAGAATGATCGAAACAACAAGAGACTGGTCAATCATGCTAAGGCAGCCGATAAAATCGAAGTGTTCACACGATCAAGCATACAATATGAAAATGGTGGAGATGCAAAAACTTTACAAATGAACACAAACATCCTGCAACCCAAAATATTTGACAGCACGTCAAACTCGTTCTATCGATCTCAAATGGGATTTAGGGTTCAAATTGATGTAGGAAGTAACAACGCGATATTGTGCGAAGCAACGTGACTTTCCCACCCGTTTGCCCAACGTAGAGTGAAGGGTTTTCTCACGAGGAGATCTCTCCGTGATCGAACGAATAACAACCAGAGGGACGTCATTAATAGTCTCATCATTTGATTTCACTTATCAATCTAAGTGAAATCACCAAAACATACAACGAAGTACAACGAGGTTGGCATAACTTCATCTTCTAGAGGATTTTCGTGCTAGGGCTTCAAAGAAAACACCCAGATTCGTATGGAAGAGTCCATGAAAGGCCCTTGGCCTATTATCCTATAAGCACAAAAAACATAGTCATTAATCCTCTAACAGCCACCTAATGGGCTATAGGAAAGGAAAATGTAAGGGATTAAGGGATTTCACCTATGTGACGACTTATCGAAGTATTTCTTTCGTAGGAAGCTCTCCTCGCTGGAGAGAGTGACGAGGCCACCATATTTCTTCTTTAAAGTGATGAGGAAGCCTTCCTCACAAAATAAGAGGTTGAGAACACTTGAATTTTCCTTCTCCAAAGTTATGAAGAAGCTCTCCTCACCGAAAAGTTGCTGGAAAGTTGTCAGAGAGGAAGAAGAGGATGCAAAAATAGAAAAAAATATGAAGAGGATGAAGGAAAACATTTCCCCTCACCTTTTCTTCGAGGAAGATGAAGAATTCCTCCTTGAAAGCTCCTCCCAAGCTCCCTTACTCATGCTCTCCTCCCCAATTCCAATGGATGTTGATCAACTTAATTGAGGCCCTTTCCGTTGATTATACCTCCTCAAAGGGCTTACCCAAAGGATCTAAGCCACCTTCCCCATTTAACATAGTCCCAAAATGCTTTTATGCCATTTTAGGTTGGAGAACCAAGCAAAAGGAGGTGAACCACTGGTCATGGTCGCCTAACCGGCGGGGAATCAGGTTCTGGAGGTAAAAAATCTCTAAACGAGTTCCGGTGGTGTGGCCATGTCGAGCTCGGGAGCTGTCACGCCACTGTTCAGAGTCTTGTGGATCGTGGTCCAGCGCGGCTATGCCTCAGGTCTGACGTTATTACGCCGCCATGATCACACCATCCTCTGGTGTGGTCATGCCACTAGTTAGGCATGGCACACCAGAATCGAGTGTGGTTACACCAAATCTTATAAATTTTTGGCTTCTTAAAAAGATTGTCGAATGGTTTTCGAGCTTCGTGTAAACCTCCAATGACTCGAATATGAGTAATTACGATCTTGAGACCTTTGTAAGGGTCATAAACGCGTCTCAAAATAGCTCAAGAAGGTGAATCGTGCATGTGTCGCTGAGCACGACGGTTTTAATCATGAATTTCGTTTATACGAGCCTAAATTTTAAGGCATGAACACATCTGGAGCAACATCATCAATGAACTATGTCATGAGAATATCTGTATCAGCCAGGTACAACTCTGTGCCACATGAACGAGTCATCACGAAGGA